ACCCGAAACGGAAAGTGATTGAAATACATACCGTTGTTTTCAGCAAAAAATGCTCTTTAATTTACGTTATATAAAAGTTAAAAAATTTTTGAAAATAGGGATGGGGTGGGAGTATACAATAATTAAATAATTAAAAAAATTTTTTTTATTATAGTTATAAAGTACTTTCGAAACCATTCAATTTTTATTTCAGAAAATTATTTCTATCTCTTATAGTTTCGACGATATTCGCTTCGAAAGAAAAAAACCGATTTTTTTTCAAAGGGGTGTTTCACCCCTTAAAACTGCGTATGGGCACGTATAAAAAAAATACATGTCGCTTATTTTTGTCTGGAGAACAACATACTAAAAGTTCATCAAAATCGGAGAGTTACACTTGGGTAGGTTTACTTGTTAAATCAGACACCGAACAAAATCAATTTTGAATGTCATTCGTAAATAGACGGCTCGAAGACAAAACAAAAATGACAGTTCTTAAGTCGTGTTATTAGCGTTACATCAGTGTCATCTCTCTTAAAAAAAATGTTTCGTTTAGAAAATACAATGGAGGTACGATTTTACTATTGACACGACTTATCCAACTTCACCCTATATTGTCTTTCCATTATTTTAACAGTCATTCTCCGCACAACTTCAATATAGCTTCTTACAGAATGAAAAAGAAAATATTTTCATTACAGTTGATGGGTACTTCAATATCTTACTTCACTGTTCTCTATTCTACAAGTACGAAATAATAATTGCAAAATAATTAAGGTAGGTACGTATAATAATGAAAAAGATATGAAAAAGTAAGAGGGGGGGAAAGGAAAAGGAAGAGAAATGTAAACTAATTTGACCAAAATCGTTTAGACCTCGGTTTAGGTGTCGCTTCCTGTAAGTATCGTTTCGATTCAACAAGAGGTAAAAATTATTATTTATATAAAAAATCGATATATTATAAAATATTTATAAAGAAATATAGAATTTAAAATTGACATTATATTATTAATTCACAATAATGAAATACATGTGTTAGAAGGGGTCGTACCGCATCTGCGAAGTCTATTATCGCACGATTCCCTCGAATGAAGTATGTATTTCTTTATGGAAAATAAACATCTGTTGCATTATTGCTATAATCAAATCGACCGCTTAACCATACACCTTTTCCAGAAAAGTATGAATTACCATCATCTGCTTTTTTTATCCGACAATAATATTTCCTTCTGCATTGCATTTAAATTAAATTAGGCAATTCAGCTTAAAATTTACATAAAAAAGTATTACATTGTAATTCAAGCACGTTAATATTTTTAACTATGATTAAATAATTCAATGATTCGCATAATAAACAAAATATTAGGTTCCAATTTGTAGCGATTTGAATAATGCAACGAGTCGTATCAGAAAGGACAATAGATTTTTCATATTACTGATCTTTTTATTTGTGGCGATCAATGTTAGTATTACCGAAGATATAACATTATAATAACTAAATAAATAAAAAAAAATTTAATTTGAAATCATGTCAATTTTTCCTATTATTTCGTACCTACATTAATTTATTGTACAGGTACATACTAGGTGGTACGACGGGTTACGCGGCAAACTTTGCATGGCCAAGGGTGGTTTAATAGACAATGACAGTGACTTCATAACATAAACTTTATAATATAAATAATAAAACTTTGTAGTATAAACTTTATAATGTATAAAGTCATTGTCATTGTCTATTAAACCACGCTTGGCCATGCAAAGTTTGCCGCGCAACCCGTCGTACTG